TATCATTAGACACAAAAAAATGTCAAATGTCAAAAAATAAATATCAATTTTTTTTATAGATAAAATTTTTTCACATTTTTTTCATGTTTCTGGTATCTTATATTATATGAAATTTTTCTCTAGGGCGCGAGCTCTGACACATCCTGTATTATAAGTTAAGTTGAAAAAAAAATAAGAATTTGTGTTAATTAATTAAAAAATCTTGATAATAAAAAATTATTGAAACCTCTACGCTTACTATTAAACAAAGATACATTAATACCAGATTTCATTAAACGAAGAAAGAGAGAAAATAACAGACCCGTTCATGTATTTATCTGTAACTTGGAGTATGTTTCACCTAATTTTACGACTTTAGAAGCTTCTGTTCAACTAATTTAAAACGACGTCTTCAACGGAGTACTGTAAAATTAACCCAAAATTAACGTTTCATTTGATTGTATTTTTTTATAATTACGTAAATGAAGATTTTGACAACGTAGAAAAATAAGTAATTTCACAAACATACATAGAGCACAGATAATTACTAGTCCTGAAAGGGTTTTCGCTATTGACAAACTGATTAGATTTTGTTCTATTGATGTGATTTTTATGGTAAAAAAATAAACCACAGTAAAAGCGCAGGTATATGCCTTTTTGTAATAATCAAATACAAATTCGCCTTGGAAGTGTTTTGCTCTAAAATTTCCATTAATAGATTTTAATTAATTTGGTATGTCCTGTTGTTCTAGTAGAAGTTAGATCTTCGCAGTGACCTTTATCATTGTCGCTATAATTAGTTAGAACAATATTTTTTTCTTGAGTCACAAATACGAATAAACCCTTCCGTACTTTTCCTCGTTGGCATTCGCTAAATGCCCTTGTTGGTGCGCTAATTCTTTGACCCTCTACCACTGGGAGTGCAATAATTTCCGAAGGAGGAAGTGTTCTTGGGTGACGTCACACATCTAGCTGCACTTATTTAAATACTATCAGTGACAACGTGTGCGTCACACGAAAATATAGCTTCTCATTTCCGCTGAGTAAAATAAACAAACTGGTTTTGTTTTTTCAAACACATCCTCTTAGACAAACACACGCATGACCTGTTTTAAGCGATTTCGGTCCAATTGCCGTCATTCTATTCTTATGCAAATGTTGAAAAGTTATGACAAGTGGCGTCCTCGACCTTGCGGCCCGGTGCAGCTGCATCGATTCGCTACCAAGGGTGACTCTTATGACCCAATTACCCTCCTCAGGAGGAATTCGGCACCACCCACGTGATTAATTGCGAAATGATCGCTAATAACGGTACCACTTGAACCCGGAAGACGAACCGGAAAAATCGAGCCGTTTTATTATCAAGGCTTATATCTCGGCGACGACGCTCGATTTGGTGGAATTTTTCATTTTGTTGTTTTTGTTATTGAAAAGCTGTATCGTTCAAGGCCTGACCTTGAATTTGATTAGCGTACGTCACATGGGAGGGGATTTAAACAGAGATGAGTCGAGCAGGTGCGACCTACGTGATCATATTTCGTTTACATTAACCTTTGACTGACCTCACTGACATTCATGGGCGCCGACGCACATATTCAGTTCCGGATCAATGGAAAAAATCGAGACCCGATTTTAGGACATTTTAGGAATCAGGGACTGCCCGGGAGAAGTCACGGCCAGCTTAGATGATATTGCAAAAATGAATGGGAGCCATAGGCGTATCACCGCATAAGAAAGACGGGGAAACATCTCAATAAAAATGTATAAAAGTCGGTGACTGAATCCTTTATTTAGTTTAAAATCATTTATTGATTGACAAAAAAGGCATTCTCAATGAAAATATAGGATGTTTTAGAACTCGCGCCTCAAGGAAAAAATGTCATGCACACTAGGAGATATAATACCAGGAACATGGTAAAAATGTTAAAAAAATTCTATCTATAAAAATTTAGAAATTATGAGAGTTAAAATTTTGTACCTACTTTGACTCTATTTATGTCTGTTGGAAAAATAATTTTCCACGTTTTTTGCTACAAGCTATTAGAAGACGAAACAAGGAATTGTAACTATTTAACTGTTTAACATTATTTGTGGCTTTTATTGGCAAAATTTTTGTACCTTTAATAAATAATCAAAAAAATATGAAAAAATACATAGAAGATTAACAGTAATACCGTGCGATCAAAAAAAAATATATTAGAGTAGGCGGTGATTAAAGTCCTTCAGATGGCAATCTTGATTTTTGACGTCAAATGTCAGCGGAAACTCTGTCAAGTTAGCCTTTTATTCGGTTTGAGTGAAGTAATGTTCACTTTAGAGCAGAAAATTTTTGTTGTTGGGTTATTACAAAAATGTTGTACAAGACGAAAATGGGGAATGGTCATTTTCAGATTGTGTGGAAAATTTCGTGTTGCCAACTGTAGAATAGCAATCGTCGCCTACTTTAATTTTTTTTTGATCCACGGTATTAAATAGACATAAAAGATATCAAATGTCAAAAAATAAATGTCAAAATTTTTTGACATGTATAGAATCTTTTAAACATTTTTTCCGTATTTCTGGTATCTTTTTTTTTTTTTAAAAGAAAGCAAAATAAACAAAGTTGCATCTTGTGAGTACTTTATTACAAAACTTATACCGCTAATAGTCAGTAACAATTGCGGTCGAGAAAATTTGTTACAAATTTTTACTTTTTTATTATTTTTTTTTATTGTAGTCATTTTCTCTGTAGCTGTCTGTTAATTTTAACTTAAATTTTTAAAATAGATATGCATTATATTTGTTTACAATTTTTGTTGGTCAAGGAAGTTTAAGACTGCGCGCCAAATTTAAATTTATTCGATGACCAAAATCCTCAGTATCTCATAAACTGTAAACATTTGGATTAGGCAAGTCGAGTTTTTTTGACTTTTTTGGACCTACTATCACCTCTTAAAATTATACACCCTGTATAGCACAACTAAAATCATACAGTATTTTAAAGTTTATTTATTCTTACTTTTAATTCTCTTTTTAATGATATGGAATCTAATTTTTTCAAAATTGTAATTTTGATATCAAGACTATTAATTCCAGCTAATAAACTTGGATTTTTCGAATATGAAATCCAAATTTTAAAGTTTGAAAGTTCCATGGTTTTGTCTTATTGGTTATTTAACAATCAAGGTTTGTAAATCTTCAAAATGAGTAATCAAAAAATGTTTTTAAAAATATTGGTAGCGAGTTCCGCACCGAAAAATGCACCGTTATTTCAAAACTTGCAAATTGCAACTTGCAATCCGGTCGCGGGGGAATTTAGCTTTTTGAAACACCACTGAGACTGACACAAACCTTGTTTTTGTAAAACGCATGTGTTTTTCTCTATAAAGCAATTTCAACTTCATAACTAAACTTGTAATTTCCATCTTATTAATTCTGATTTTCCGAATTTAAAACACAAAACATTAATAAGTTTGGAGGTTAAATGTTAATTCAAGTTTTTTTCACGTTTTGTCTCGTTGCTTCTTTAGGGGTCAAAAGTTAGCATATCACTTTAATAAGCAATCAAAAAATTTATAAAAACATTTTCGGGCTGACTTTTGCGATAAAAAATAGGTCAAATATTTGCAAATGGTTCTTGAAGTTTGTTGAAGTTTCTTCAAAAATGATGGAAGTGAGAGATTTATCTCTGGTAATGCATTTTTACTTTTTATGCGAATATTTTGGCAATTTTTTCAATAAAAATTCAAATACCTATATGTGCGCAGGACTCTGAAATACCCATTTTTTTCTAACTACTGTTATAAGTTGTTCTTTTTTTAAAAATTCGTTTTGCTTTTTTTTTAATAATTTATTACCAAATACTTATTTCAATCAGAGCTTGTCGTTGGGTAAACTGTTGTTGACTCTTAGTAATTAAGTAAAATAAATTGCTTTCTGTTTTTTTATTTAATAATTAACTAAAGTGATCAATGTTTTCTCAGTTTTTCTAGTTTGCCTTTCAAAACTAAAAAGTCCTCGTATTTTATTGTTGGGATATATTAATTTTGGAAAAATGTTCCGACACTGCGGAAAAGCGCACCGCGGTGGAATGAGCGGGCTTGTCCGCAGTTACAGCGTAGTCCCTGAGGTGCGCTACTGAAATAAAGCAAGGTCAAGTTTAGCAAGGTCAGTCGGGCGGTCGCGTCGGGGCCATTGGTGGGTGTCCATTGGTCCCCCCTGTGCCACCTCTGATAGTCAGCGTCAACAAAGTTCTGTTTTTAGCACTTTTTTATGAACTTGTTGTCGTGATGCTATATCGAGGTTCAAGGATGTGCGTGTGTAGGGTACACGCCGCCGCCCCTCCGCCACTCACATAACAACAACCGCCGACAATAAAAATATTTAAATTTATTTTGAACGCTGTTTATCATCGGGAATGTGATAAGGAGGGTTCAAGGGCGCCGCTCGCTCTGTGCGCCTCGGAATCATGCTTTTCATGGTCAAAGTGATAGAGAGTTAATTTGTTAATAATACTCGTTTAATTCAATTTGCGTGTATGACATAAATGGGTTTCTAGTATGACAATGGCTTCTTGGAAAATTACTTTTTACTGCGGGAAGTGTCTTCAAGGTGATGGCCAATGGATGATGCCATAAACAAGGGCCAATTTGCCACATGTTATGTCACTTCGCATTTATTCAAATTGATTGTTTACTGCATTGTCACCACATGAGAATTGCGGACCTTCGTCTTAATTTAACTGCGCATCATGCGAAATTCTAACGGGAAAGATTAGATTCCCCCGTATTTATTTTTAGATTTTCACGGAAAAAATGAGCAACATCAACATTTTCCCCGAATTATCGATTCGCAGGAAATGACATTGAGTCAGAGTCACTCCGCTATTTACAACCACGTCTTATATTACCCGACTAGAAAAACCTCTACTTTTACGTAATTATGCATTTTTTTAATTCAGAAAATTTATATGCATTGTAAACAACCTTGACAATTGGTATAATCACTGTATAAATTATTTAAGAAAAAGTAAAAGTCACAAAAAAGCAATAAAAATGTATTTTATTGAAACAAGAAATTATGTAACTATGATCAATGATCACTTGCTCTTAGTCTTGTTTTTCTTTCTGCCTTGGGTTTTTAGTTTGGCCTTTTGTGCTTTCAAATCCTTTTTCATTCTTGCGTCCACGATTTTATAACGGCCTTTTACTCCGGCCGGTCTCTTCATTTTTTTAGCAGCCATGTGTTTTTTAGCCACGACATACGTTACTTCCTTTTTAGGCTCCTGTCTTGCCTTTTTGTATAACCTATAAAAAAATAATTTATCCGTGCTAACAATAAAAATAAAAAAAACTAACTGTTTTATTTGTCTCGCCTTTTCCCTGTCGGTTACATCAACATTATCCATTAAATTTTCAACTTTCTTTTTAGCTTTTTCTAATTTTTTCAACGCCCTCTTCTTCTTTCTTGCCTTCGCTTCAATTACTTTTTTAATGGGACGTACATTCAAATCCTCTAAATGCTTCTTATAATCCTGAATCAATTCCTACAAAAACAGTAGTAAAAAACATAAAATGAATAAAATAAGAGTGTACTTTTGGAACAGCAGCTTCTTTCCTCATATGTTTTTCCTCATCCGTAACAAACCAATCAGGTAAGTTGTCATCATTAAAAGCGTAACGATTCCAAGCACCATCAATTATGTCACGTTTTGTTTTTTTGCTGTTGATCATTAGCGTACCCAACGCCAATTCTTCTTCTGTCAATTTATATTTTCTTTTTTTGCCAGCTTTCTGTCCATTTGGAACAACCTCAAAACCGTCTTTTTTCACATTATTTTTTGGCGCCAGTTTCTCAAAATCGTTGTAGTCTGAATCATCTGAATCTGAACTGTAGTCACTATCTGATTCTGTGTTCTTAGCATCTTCTTTTTCTCCAATAATCTTCGCTCCTTTCTTCTTCATTTCATTCACCATACGGTCTAAATCAGCGTCTTCATCTTTTTCATCAATTAAATTCTTAAATGCGTCTCTTTCAAACCACATTTCCGCTTTATGTACCTTCTTTTCTTCCTTACTTCTGTGATCTAAGTCAGTTATCAAAGGATGCTTTGCTGTTTTCTTTTTAGTTTTTTTTTCTTCTACATCGCTATTTTCACTATCGCTCAAACCTAAACCTTCTTTAATTTTCTCATCTTCATCCTCAGACTCGCTTTCCATTTCCAATTCGGAATCCGAATCTTTATAATACATTCCAGTACTACTCAAATGTTGCTCGTCCTTGTTATAACGCAAATATTTTGGTTTTACTTGATCTTCTTCATTGTCTGAGTGAGCAAGAGTATCAGGAGTCTGATCAATAATTTTCTTCATTTGTTTTACGCTGTTTACTTGCTTTAGTTCAAACATGCCGTCACTCTCCATTGTTGGACCACTATCCCCTTTTAAGACCATTTTCAAGTTTAATTTTTCATTCAGCTTTTTGCGCTCTTTTTGTGCTTTCTTCTTTTTTCGTTTCAACTCTCGTTGTTCTTCACCCTGCAAATTGCATTAACATCGGTAAAAATTTTATTAATTATAATTGTTTTACTTCAAGTTCTAATATTTGCTGATGAACGTCCTTCAAATCGTCATCGTCGTCACTTTTCTCTTCAGCTTCTTCAATATTTTCAACAGGTTCATCTTTCTTCTCAGAGAATTCTTCACTTAATGCTTTCTTCCAAGCTAAAATCTTCTTCAAATCTTTCCTACCCAACACTTTAATGTCTTTACAACATTCTTTAATTTCTTTTGTAGTTTTTTCATGATTTGTAATTTCTTCAGTATCAAAAACAATCTACAAATAACAACTAGTCTTGGATATGATCAACATTTTTAAACAAGTTTTACCTCAGAAGCCCCTTCTAACAATTCAATGCCTGTAGGATGTTTAATAAAGTCTGACGCATTTACTTTATGATACAAAGTCCAGTCATTTTCAGGGTACCCTTCAGCTTTACTTTTTTTATTCTTCTCTGGATGGTAAATATTCAATTTACTCTTAGGCTCAATTTCTAACTCCTCAAAAACGTATTTCGGATCCATAAATTTGGAATCGATTTTATCAGGTGCGATATAATGTTGACAAACGACGAAAATTTCCGCTGATTCATTTCGAGAGGCTTGTGGCTTGGTTGCATGCACTTTCTTAAAAAACTGCTTCAAAACCCAAATTAGAGAGTGGTAATCCTTTGAACGAAACACTTTCGTTATAAACCAACCCCCTTTCTTCAGAAATTCGCTAGCCAGTTTTAAAGAACTCAAAGTCAAGCAAGCTTGCTGGTAGGCATCATGTAACCAATTTTTACCCACATTAGGGGCACCGTCGTGTAAAACAACGTCAGCTTTCCATGTTTGTAACTCTTTCTTAAGTGAGACTCGACATTTCTCAGTGGTAATGTCTTCAGTTAGAGAAATACATCCAGGAATGGGTTTAATTGGAAACAAATCAATTCCAATAATGATGCTTGAGACCGGCATGTTTTGCTTGGCTACTTGCATCCAGCCCCCAGGGGCTGCACATAAATCTATGCATACTCGAGATTTTTGCAAAAATTCAAACTTGCGGTTGAGTTGGATCAGTTTAAAAGCTGCACGAGACCTATAACCTAGAAAAACCAAAGTGAGGTTATGTTTGTAAAATTTAAGGAAACGTACCTGTTTCTTTAGCTAACTGATAATACTTATCCTTGCGCTGTTTCCCAATTTTAGTTTTTTTTCCCATTTTCGCGTTATTGTAATTTTCTGTGACGAAATTAAATTGTTTTCAAAAAACGCATGGCTTTTGACAGTTGACAGATTAACCACAGATTTTTATACAAGCGAGAAATTGAACTGTCACAATTCAGAAGACTTTTATTTTCATCTTTGTTTAACAAACTGAACGGATAATATAACTATCCTTTTAGCGACTTTTTTGCTAGTATTTAATTCTATGGTATTAATTGTCAAAAAGCAATGATACCAACACACATGTGTGCATGTTTTTAAATTGTGTTTTTGCATTTTCTTATTAGTTTATTGTTTCATTGAATTAATAAGAAAAAACCGTTTTATCAATACTAATTATATTTTTACATGACGTCTAAATATTGGTCATTTTGCTTTTATCTAAAAAATGTGGAGTGAAAGGTCATGAGTGTTTTATGAATAGTTTTCATAAATTTGAAATTGCATTATTATCAAAATTTCCATTTAATTAAGCGGCCTCTAGATATTTGCGTCACGTGACCCCTCCTTTTGCGTCAGCCAATGGGAGGCGTTCCCGATCGTCCGAGTTTATTCTAGATTATTTCACATGACGTGTACTATTCTATTTGGGTTGTCGATTTGTGTGTAATAACAGCATTCAAAAAAGTGTACGTGGTAAAGAAACAAGCGAATTAGTGGTGAAATATCCTGGTATTATTCAGTGTTGATAGGTGTTGAAATAATCGCATAGTCTTGTGTCAAAATTAAACAGTTGAAAGTGCAAACATTATGGCGCCGTCAGTGCAAACATTTCTAAATTCTTTCAGTAATTCACTGTAAGTATAATTTTCATGGTTTTGTTGCATTTTAACTAAAATTGTGTTTATTTGTAAATAAAGGGAAGCTCCCGTAAGGCAACACCTGAAAAATGTCTACGCCTGTTTGGCCATGTCCACAATGGCAGCCGCCATTGGTGCTTCGATACACTTATTTACGAATATAATCCAGGCTGGTTTCCTGTCAGGCATCGGGGCTTTAATCTTTTTCGGGTTGTTGATGGCAACGCCCGATGATAACGGCAAAGGACTCAAAATGCGCATTGGTTATCTCTTGGGATTCACAACACTGACAGGTGTGGGCATGGGGCCCCTTTTGGAGCACGTCATCGCCATAGACCCAAGCATCATCGTCACGGCTCTAATTGGTACAGCAGTAGTCTTCGTGTCATTCTCAATTTGCTCACTTTTGGCTGAACGAGGAAAATGGTTGTACTTGGGGGGCACTTTGATGTCCCTCTTGTCAACTTTGATGATCCTTTCGTTGGCGAACTTGTTCTTTGGATCGTCGATGTTGTTCCAAATCCAGTTGTATTTGGGGCTCTTTGCGATGTGCGGATTTGTCCTTTATGACACACAGTTGATCATTGAGAAGAGAAGGTTGGGAAGCAAAGACTTTGTGACCCATTCTTTGGATTTGTTTGTCGATTTCGTTGGGATCTTCCGGCGTGTACTTATTATTCTCACACAGAAGGTAATTAGAGACAGGTCCGTTTCCTTCATCCTTTCTCATCCCTGACGTGTCACGTTAAGCATGATTACTTGAATTTTCCTTTTGTTACAGGAACAGGAATCGCAGAAGAAGCGAAGAAATTGAGTGAAGCCATTAAGTGACGGAAGGTTTTTATTTTTGTTAAATTAGTAAGTGATTGTGGTGTTGTGTAATATATTTTCCATTTATCATTATATGATACCTAATGTTATTTTTTTTTTCTTTAAATGTAATATAAATTTAAGTTAAATAAATAATTTTTCTATAAATTGTCTCATTGTTTCACCTACTGATAATAAGCTACACGTATGTGCATGTCATTATGATAAATATTTGAGTAGAACCACGTAAGTGAATTGGGTATTGGGTAGGCAATTCAAGGTCGAGTACAATCAATGATGAATGTAGGATATGTGTAGGCCAAATTCGGAACATTTTTTTTTGTATCAAGGAAGGTAGTAACAATGGAAATTAGGTAGGTATTAAAGGAATTGAGTTACTGTGCTAATAGGAAATAAACGTTGTACTCAGACTTTGTCTCATATTGAACTTATCTTCCACTTTTTTATAATGATTAAATCACAAAGCAATTTTTTTACTTTTGATTACAAGACTAGAAATAACGTCACAAGCGAAAAGAAAATTGTAAAGAAAACTAAATTGCAAAGAAATTAGTGAAGATTTGGACTTCTATGTATATATTTATTCAATTGTTCAATTAAGTATATTATATTCTAAGTTAAAATATAAGAAAATACTAATTACTGTGAAAACGTGTTATCAAACTTGCTTTTGCTAAGTGCATTTATATTGCTAAAAAACAAAATTCAGTTTTCATTTTACATATTTCTACTAGACATATTGTATAAAAGGATGCATATTAGCACAAATACATAATTATTTGTATATTAAAAATAAGTAAAAATAGATTTTTGAAATACCTACGAATTGCAATAAAAAGTTTTGAATTTAGTATGTATGTGTATATGTGTAATTTGTAAACAAGTTTCTTCGAAAGTTTGCGGTTTTTATCAGTCTTATCACGCAGTTATAGCTATCATATTGTGGTAGATAAAATTGTGAATGGTAGATAAGAATAATTTTGGGGGTGATATAATGTTGCAAAAATAAAATTTCTAGATTTTAAAGCAAATTATACATGTTAGGAATTATTTCGTTTATTCATATTGTTATAATATAAATTTGTTGATGAAAGAACAAAAAATAAATAATAAGTTAATAATAAATTTCGTAATTATTGCAATTTTATCATAATTTTTAACCTCCGAAAATAAAAATAATACTTTTATACGTGCAAAATTGTTGGCAAGTATTGAAATCAACAAATTGAACCATAACTAAGTTGTTTTTAGTTATCTTATCGAGGTCTTAGTACAAATAATATTGTGATGTTATTGAAAGATAATTTTTTTTAATCTTCGTGTATATTTGGTTGCCTACCTCTATAAGCTAGAGCGTCGTCTGCGTTGATTGACAGTACTGTCAATCAACGCAGACGACGAGCTAGAGCATTGATTATAACCATATTCCATAAAACCAAATAATATGGTTAATCAATGGCTAGAGTCATAGATAAATACAGAGTAATTCACACAACTTTACGAGGCTTGTGCCTAATGTACGCACCCAAATATACAAAATTCACAAAACACTAGATACACATTTAATTATTTAATTTTTGAATACCCATGACAGTAGTCTAAACTAATCAATGTTTTATTAATATCATAAACTGCAGTTTTTCAGAAACAATTATTGTTCGTTCTATTAAGAGACGGCATGAAAATGCTTCTAGTTTATCTATCTTAATCACTAATAACTAACTACAAATGTTTGTAATTTTGTAATTTTTTGTAATCTAATTTTTAAAAGGGTGAACAAACTAGAGAAGATTATCTAATTTTTCAAAATATGTAATCGAGTTCGTATCGGAATATGTATTATTAATTGCATCTTACAGGCTCTCGTCTCGTAAAATTATGTAAAACACCCTGTATTATATCATATTATTTACTCTATGCTAAAGTACAATCATCAATTGATTTTGTCTGAAAAAAAAGTATTGTTAATATGATAAGTTGATTTTAATGGCGCATGTTTAATACTTTTTTGAAAAATTTATGTAAACCCGGAAAGTGAGATTTAACATATTATGTACAATATTAACAGAAAGTAAGTTTACCACCCTTATTTCAGAAAGCGAAGTGGTCAGTTACCTTCATATTCTGTCAAAATTACAATAAAAGTATATGTAATTCTCTCAGGGAAATAAAAATTTTACCTCCCTCATAGAAACCGGAAAACATGCTGCTAGTTTTAATGGAGAAATTAGGATAGCAAGAGAAATTGTTAGTTTTAAAGTTTTTCTTGCTGGATCGTAGCAAAATTACACTAGACACAGGAAAGTGTCTTTTCTTCCTTATGTGATTATCTTTCACCTGTGGAAGAAAAGATACACTCCTCCTATTATTACATCAAAACTTGTAAATTATTACGTAAATTTAATTTTGTGATGGTAGTAAAGAAATGTACAATTTGTACTAGAACGTATAGGTCTCCATATATGAAGAATTTGCTACTTATTGATTTGTGGCTTGGAAGCTTTAATCAACTATTATCGGAAAGATGGCAGTAGAATTCGGCAACCGAGTAAATTCCGATTTATTTGCTGAAATTTGGCGCATCGATTTTAATAATTTTAGTAGTGTACCATCTAGGAAATAAATGTTGAAAGTTAAGAGCGCTCGGAACCGAATTTATACTGCGGTCGGATCGCTTGGCATATTATTGCAACAATTAATTACTTGGAGCGGGCAAAGGACTACAAATCACGAAAACTCGAAAATATCCGCATGCTGAAAGAGGAACGTTATTGCGTTAACCATTCGCTAAATACATTACGTCGAGCACAAAAAGCAAAAGGGCAAATATTAAACCAATTTTAAATATTGAGCCATCATACATTTAAACTCTGATTTCGTTATCACTGCCTCGTGATTAATTAATACACAAACAGCGGCATTCATTAATCTCTTTTTTTAATTCAGACGATTTAATAAAGGTGATGAGAGTTTCCAAGCTGAATGTTTCCTCAGATTTGGCGACATCAAGGATAATACGTAATTAGCGCGAAATGGGAATCGATTCGTCTTAATTTAAGTGACATTAGAACCCGTTTGATTATACAAAGTCAAACGCGGCCATTTTTAGGCGAAAATTCCGATTCTCAACCAACATATAGGGTCAAAGTTGCCCTTATTCGCATGACTAAACTTACCTCTTTCCAGATTCTTGCAAGTTTGATTGGCGGCAAAACAAAGCTATGCACTGGAAACGCTTCGTAGCGAAGAAAACTTTGATGACAGCAATATTTAAATGAAATTTAATAAAACTCTATGATATTGCTAACAATTGTTAAATTGGCATTCGATTTAAACGACTTTCAAACTCACAGCAAAATAAAATCACTCTAAAACGAGGTGTTTAAATTTTAAACTTTTATCTACGCTCTCTCCGAGCTTTAAATTAAAACTTCAATAGTTTTGTTTTTTTGTTTGGTCTTGCAATTGAGATTGCATTATTATCACGACATTTTATTAAAGTCTTTATTAAAGTATAAGCGTCAAGTGATTGTAGCTTACCTCTTGCTTCGTCTCAAACTGGCATTTAAATTAAGTTTGCAAATTTTGTTATTTCAGTTGTGTGTTTTTAAGTGAAATGACATTGCTCTACCTAAGCTGTGCCGCTTAATAAATGTAACTTAGTGCTACGTTTATTGAATTTTCAATAGTAGTGAAAACAAACCGTATCAGACGGGGGAAGATAAATTATTCTTTGACGGCGACAAAGTTTTAATAGTACACGTAAAATAATGAAGTTTATATCTAATAATAAATAACAACGACAATTTTCTTTTTAGCAAATTTTATCGATCTATTGTCGCGTAGGTGGAAATATAAAAAATGCAAAAAAGAATTGAAATGGAATGAAATTTGGTGAGCCTTAGGCGAAACTGTAAATCGAGTTTATATTTCGTGTTTCCACAGCTACACTGTTTCAATTATAATTAATAGTAACGTATTGCCACAGAGTCTTTATTTACAATTTACAATACAGAGTCTTTATTTGTCTCAATTGCAGTAATGTATTTGAGATTTAATACGATATTTGAATTTTCATGTAATTAGGCCTACAATTTGGCTTTACATTTTTTTAGTTTTAATATTTTGTTGTTATTTTATACATTGTCGTGATTCACTTTCTAGATTTTTCCTGTAGTTTACTTCAAACTGTTTTTTTTTCTTATCTACTGCATGTCACAGAATTTCATTATAAAACTAAAGATAAAAGTAAAAGAAATATTTTATTTCTAAGCTTCACAATTAGTATTTTGCTTTGATTAAAACAAATCAATAAAGTGATGGAAAGATTGATTTGTAAAAAAAATATTTAAAAATTTAAATTATTTATTCTGCGCTTCAAATATTATTAAAATACACAGAAAGAGATCTAGAATATACAGGCTGTCATTATTGAATGTATGAATATAATTTTTTTCTTTAATAGATATAGGGACTTCCAAAATTTGTAGAATAGCTTCCTAACGTTATTTTACAAGGTTTGTGGTCAATGTTTTCGTGTCTTTTTGCTTAAAAAATTATGTTGCATGCAAGATCCCCGTTAAAAACAAACATAAACAAAAAGGGCCATATATAAAAAATGTCAAAATTATTATTATAGAATTTTCCCATGCTCCCTATGCTTTCTATGGGGAGTTTATGGTTTTGGTTTTGAAATTTTATCTGATAATAGGGGAGTGCAGAAATAGTGTAATCAAAAAAAAACAAAACGGCGGAATAGTTATTTAACTCAGAAATATTTATTTGTACGAGGTTTGAGAGTCTCTGGAATGATTTCTCTAAAATTTCATTGTGGCAATAAAATAAAAACATGGTATCCAAACATGGTATATAAAAGTCAATGTTATTATTTTAATTGGTTTTACATTGGGTTTTACTTTAGTTCCTATCAAAATTTAAATTCGAAAGTCTTCTGTTTGTTCCCTTTAAGTGGAATCGTTTTGAATAAGTTTGATTTGTGTTTTTTGTTTTTTTTTTTAATCAAGTTTATGGACATGGACAATAATTAATATTAAAGTAATAAAATAATTGTCAGAATTATGACTTACGGTGAAGGCCCTATGAATACTCGTAACACTGCTACGGGTTACAACTGCCGCAAAATTCTCTAAATTAAAAAAAAAATCTGTAAACAAATTATTATAAAAAGCGCAAAATAGAAAAAATAGTATAAAACATTTGTTACAGAAGACTCGTATCGGAATTTCCAACTCTTGCTTTGGATACCTTCTGCAGTTTGCATATTTTCATTTTTTTTAACGTATTGAACAAAAAACTAATAAATTTGAACCAAAAAGAAAATACTACCGCAACTGTCCCAAAAAAGCTCTATTTAAGCATAATAAATTTAATTAGCAAAACTTATTTATGTGGCTAGAAAGTGGGGATTACTTTTAAGACATTTTTGATTATGAGTATTAAATTTTGATTTTTTTTATATACTAGCGCAAATCTTACAGAATCGATAGGGATATCGACCTTTTTTTCAAAATGAAAAATGCGTCCGTAGAACGGGACCAATTTCTGCCTTGCTTTCGACGGTAGTCCAGACTAGCCTTAATATACTATTTTCCTATTTTTAGTTTTTAGAATTCGTTTCAAGTAATTACAATTTTTTGAAAAACTAAAAAACTTAAATCATTAATGAAAAAATAAAATTTTTAATTTTGAAATGAAAAGCTTTGCTCAATCATTCGTTCGATGCATTTTTGATATAGGCTGCTAAGTAGAAGTGATCACACTTTGCAGTTTTCTAACACCGTTCTTTAATGCAGCATTTAATATTTTTTATTTTATTATTAATTTCAACAAAACAATATAGACTTGAAGTCTTGGAAACGCCTTATACAAATTTGCGACACAATTCACGATTACGATTGAACAATTTTACAACTAGAGTGAAACAAAATATAAATTGTTTCAACCGCCATCGCCATTCGCCTTTAATATAAAATTTCAATCATGTGTATTTTTTCTGTTTTGGAAACTGTGATTCATGATTGAGTTTTTGTTCGATTTTGTAGCACCGCTTCATTTGCGCTTAAAAAATGTAATATTTCACCTGCAATTTTCACCGGTAACTTAAAATGCACCGTAAGAGCTTTATTATATAGCTGTCGTGTTACAACCTGTAGACACAAATGATGCATTAACATATTTAAATTACGCCTGGTTATTCTAAGTGAGGCCTAGCTTATTTGAATCGAGCGGAACTTTATGGAAATGGGTTGAAGGGCGATTTAACATGTTCGAGAAAGTATGTTTTTTATTGTTAAAAAGGTCAAATAAAATTAAAATGGACTTGTTGGAACTCGATGTCATTAGTAATTATGATTAGTGAGAGATCTACAAAACCATGTAATAAATTTCGACTTAAAAAGAGCAAAAGAACACAAACACGCCTTTGTCTGGAAGTCTGAAAGCAAGTTAGTGCTTTCCGGAGTCGGATGTAATGTATCATGTTGACTACATTGGATCATTGTAGAATTCGCAGGGAGCCAACCTGTTAACCAATTCGATTATTGGCTTTGATTAGACCCATTTATCGTTTTTTCGGAGAGTGAAGGAAGTAATAAATAAAGACGGACTGCAGAGAGATTTAAGCAAATTAAGGACACACAGGAAACAGAATAAGCTAGAGTTTGTTTTTGTTGCTAGACAGTTTTTCGATTTTTTATATCAAATATCATCTCTTAGAAAACCATTTCTTCTATATATTGCAATTGATATTTTGTGTCAAATTTTTTTTTGAAGAAACAAATGTTTAATTTTGATCACACTTTTTAGGCAATTTAAGTCGCCTGTGTTGTTTATTATTTAGCTAAAGCTGAAATTTTGTATTCACCTCGTTGCAATGATGTCAAAATTCTTGCTCAGGTGGATTGACTATACTAATAGGATTAGTATAAATAATGTAAACCTCATACTGTCAAGTCTTCGGGGGAGCATAATCTTTGACGAACCGCTTCTATTGTTAATGATAATTAAATTTACCCAACGCGTTGGTTTCAATATTAGGATTCTTCCCTTTCCGGAAAACAATAAGTTGTTGTCGCGGTATAAATCTAAGCCGTTTGTTCATCATAGATTCGTCATATTTCCTCAACATATAAATGGTTTCAGAGAGGAATAAGGGCGAAGCTCCTGAAAGCTATGGGTAGGTTTATAATACGAATGCGCTCCGAGGCAGCAGGTGAAGCAACCAGCAACACGGAGGCGCTAGTCGTGTTGCGATCGTGACCGAGTGAACCACAAGCCAATATTAACTTTTTTGGGGGATGGTACACGCACCGAGCATTTTTCTTGCAAGGGGTAAGTGCTGTATTATTTTTTCTCTCATATAAAATTTTTACTCTTGTATGAAACGATGAAGAAAGTTGTTGTTTCGTGTTTGCGTGACTGGGTAATAAAAAAATTTATGTAAAAATCTATTTCAGGTAATTAAAATGTGTGTCAGAAATGGAACGGTTTCTAGACGAGGAGAATAGAACTCTGGCACAAATAATGGATCCTTCGGATTACGTGGTAAGAGTTGTTTTATATTTTAACTTTTTTGAGAAATGATATTTTAAATTTGCATCGTAATTCTCTTAAGCCGGAAACGGATGGAACAGCTTTAATGCAACAATCCAATCACGTTCGATTGGTACACTAACCGCTTTTAACTCCTTCATCCCTGGTTTAAGTGTACCACAGAGAATTTTTAATAACCCGACAAGGTTATTAGTCGAAAAAATGACCAGGATGCGTTTTAATTGAGCAATTAACCCGATCACTTCCAGATTAATTAGCTTTGACTTAATTGATGGCTTGTTATTATTCATTTAGAAGCTCGTCCGTCTATTGAATTCTTAAAAAAAATTAGTGAAATGAAAATTTCAATTTAGGATAAGAAAAGAAAAAAAAACGACAAATTCCAATTCAATAAGGCTTAAAAATAATAAAAACTTTAATCACCTTATGCTTTTAGTAAAAATTATTCATGTTTTTAGGGTTCATTTTCAATGTCAAGTATATTACGTTATAGAGACCGAAATTCGAAGCGAGTTTTATAAGAAACGTCGTTTACAGAAGCTTCATCTTTTTTTTGTGAATTTTATCATTCAAATGTATGCACATAATTTATGATAGATACTTTAGTCTTAAATTTTCTGTTTCAGCGTGCAATATAAATAATAAGCGTCGTCTTATAAGAAACGCACTAAGTGTAAAACGTGATAACCGAATTTTTGAAAAAAATGGAAAACGCGCGACACATTTTCGGATAGATCGGTATTTATCGCGTTGAAAGCTCGAAATGTCATTGGGTGTTTGATTAGAGTTCGCCTTTGATAAATCACGTTCTGTTTTAATTTTTGCGAAATGTGGGTTACGCCATCGTATCTTATAAAACACGATTTTAAATGCTCGCAATGGAAATGATGGTTTTGACGAGCCAATTAAAAATAAAATTACACGGCCCTTTTGCAGGGTTTGATGGACGTTATTAATTTTTTAGCAGTAATGATGGTAAAACTTAATTATTCAGTTGTCATTAAGCTTCATAAATAATTCAGGTCTTATCAACAAAAGGTATTACCGTCATTTATGAATATGAAAATGTAGCGTCATATGCCATCACCGGCATATGACCACATAATAAAATTGATAGGTTTCGATATAATCGTCGAAAATTTCACGCGAAAATTGCCACCAAAATAAAAAAGTACGTTGAAATAGGTGTCGTAAAATTAAATTTGATGACATTTTGAGGGTAAACACGAAAAGTTTACGAATTTTCTTCTTCGAAGTTTCAGACATTACTTGTTTAGTCGAAGTTTTCAATTAGTTTTTTATAACTACACCAAGTTTTACCATCAACAGCGAGCAATTTTCATGATTTTTAAGTTAGGGTATCCAAACTCTGACTTAAAACTGCATTTTACAAAATTGGCAATTTTGACGTTATTTTTTTTTAAATTAGAACTTTGCCGGTCTGGAGAAAAGATCTCCATAAATCAATAATATAAAAAACCACACAAACTATCTTTTATATCAAGCGAGGTTGCTAAAAATCTGTAGTGTATGATTTAATCCCGAAATCCTCAAGTCACGAAACTCAGTTGATGATAATATTTTAAATTTTTAGCTAAAAATAATTTTTGTGGTATAATATTTCAATTTCTGAAGTAGGTCATCGAAAAAATAACGGCTTACACAAAATGGCTCAGAATTTAATATTGGATAAAAGCATTTTTACAAATAATAATTTTTTATATACGGGTGTGTTTGAGTTCGAAATGCGGCATTTGCAGTTTTACCACTAACCTATTTTATTCAAAAGCATAATTTTAATCCTCTTTCTGAGTGTTAGATTTCATGAACAAAATTGAATTATTATTTACGTCTCACAGAATTTCAATATAGAGTTGGAAAAACAGCGATCCCTTCTTTTAATTAAAAGTATGATAAACTTTTTAATATTTTAATAAATTATTATGGTAAACCGAATAAAATAATAAAAGTACTTAAATGACAACAATTTAAATTTTAAATTTGTGTATACAATGAGTCAAAATTATCAACATTTAAGGGTGTACGCGACCAACGATTCGAGACGTTAGTATATTGAAAACAAGATTACTCTCTCAATATACAACAAAATTTCAAATATTATACATCAAAGTGAAGGTTTTTTAAATCGACAGGCCGATACGTTGAGATTAAAAAAAAATGTAATACTTTTAAAAAAAGAACAAAAACGCATAAATGCTGAACTTGAAAACAACTTTACTCAGTCATTTTTCAAGTAATCAATCTTGGTTTTTGTAAGATAATTTAAAAGAATATTCTATAGGCTGATGCGTTGACATTTTTTTGAAAAAAAAGTGTTTGGTTTTTGAGATATTGTAATTGATGTAAAAGTCACGATATCTAACGGTAGACCTAAAGATTCGTTTTAGGGTTTTGGTATTTATTACAAAATATAAATTCTTAACAAATTCAATAAATACCATCTAATAAAACACTGTTGTTTTTAAATTATTAATAAATATATTTTGCCCAAAAATGACTCCTATATATAGTTCATTGCTTCTACCATTAGAGGCGTTGCCAGTGCTGCTTCTGTCGAGGATCGAGGGTCTTATCTGCCCAAGCAAAGGACGGATTACGGTCATATTTATCATGTAATTAGCATAATAATTTTCAGTTATTATTATTATAGAGAACTAGAAGCAGAAACGTTTGACGTGAAATGAAAAAACAAGCAAATTTTGTTGAAATTGTACTTCTATCGAATCTTCCGTGTTTAGTAGACCTTGGCATTTTTTTTTCGAAAAAATGTGTGCTTTGTAGGGATCTAAGATTATGTATTATCTATGAGAGTTTTAATAAACAGCAACCATAATCAGACAAAATAATTTATTATACAACAAATTTACACAGCTTATTATTAATTAAACAAATTTCGCCACCATAGTAACTAAATTGACTTATCCGTCCGGAAAAACTGTATTGTTGTTGGGTATTGAGTACCTAAAATAACCATTTTTCATACTATTTTATTGGGTCTAGCAAAGACTCAGCTTGTTTCAAGAGCGTATACAAAAAAAGTTTATTACTTTTAAACAAATGCTCGCCAGCAGTCTAAAACAAATAGTTTTTTAGCGGGGTAACTATGAAAAAAAAATCATTGGATAGATTGTTAATTTCAATTGATCATTTTCACAGGAAAGCCCAGAGACCAGTATCACAACAACTAAATCATAACAAACCCTTTAGTGCTTTCCCAAACAAAGCTTATGTTAAAGATAAATGATAATAATTAATATTTAATTACATACGCATTTAATTACATAACAAATGATACAACACTTGTTTTTTTTTAAATCAAGTCATAAATATTACGTTGCACATTTTATGTTTGACAATTGCGGAAATTTTTATGAATTTTTGAACTCGGTTGCATGTGGCAATATAATGTGCAATTAGAAGCTCTAAATATGTTTAGTGCGATTAGAAGCTCTAAATATATTTTGTCACGTGACGCTAGATTGATGTAATTAAGCAAAATAATGATCATTTACGAGTAATAGTGATTTATTATGGGAACCCTAAAGGCGGATATCATAAACTACTGAATCATAACAAACTTTAATGCTTTTGCAAACACAACTTGGGCTAAACTTGGCTATTAATTAATTTTATTAATAAACATTGGCGTTAATTAATATTTAATGTTGGCTTTTATTCAGTGTTGGATATTGTTTTTATTTATTTAAATTTACGTAAATTGATTGTTCTACACTAAATACCGAGTAAAAATGCATAGAGCCGGGCGTTTTTCAGTTAAGCTATTTATGTGCTTTATGAAAAAAAAATGTTGCTCAAAAACAATAATAAATTTTTATAGTAGGTACACACGAGTACCTACTTCTTTCACCAATAGGTTGTTTAAAAATGTATTAATTTTTTTCACTTTGTATAATCCTGTTATTAATTTATCAATGTAAAAAGAATTGGTAGATAAATTAAATATGCATGTAATTTGGTTTGAGGCGTTATTGTGGAGTAATCGTTCTTTTCTAATAGTCTTGTGTTTTGCTTTCTGGCTTTTCTGACAAGCATTCTCGTTTGAGCAAACACAGGAAAACGTAAAAGCAGGTGTACACTTTATTCTGCATTATTTTTAGTTTTCAATTACTTTAAAATTTGTCTTTCATCACTAAATGCATTTTGTAAAAGAAAAACTCTAAGTTATTTCTTTTGGTTTATTGTTTGAATAGACGGGAGACTTCTTCTTTTCTATTTATACAACTGAGATTTTGTTTTATAATAAAGTACTTTAACATGATTAAAATTTACACGTCTCTGAATATGTCGGGCAATTAATGAGAATTTAAGTCAAAATATTAATTTCATGTTTAAATTTATTGCATCCTCTTCAAATAATAATCGTTTCGTGATTATATATATATCTATCTATCTAAGCTAGAACTCCTAACTTTCATTAGAAGCCGAGCAGAGACTAATTATTTATTACGATGAGGAGGCACAGGCCACAAAATAAGTTCATTTTCAAGCTGCTAGTTTATAATAGTTTGTCATTCACATTCCTAACTCAGTAACTGATAATAATTAAACTTGCCCTTTGATTGTTTCAATTTCATGAATGACAATTCCACGTTCAAAAATTAAAAAAAAACTGTTTATGAAGAAAGTTATTAAAGTCGGCTCATCTAGTGCGTATTATAATTGCAATTAAATTTCGGGTGGGTCTAACATGTTTCCGATTTCGATTTGATCTCGGATACATTGTGGTAATATAAATTGGTTGTTTTCTTGGAATATCAAATGACATCGAAGATTCGGGCAAATCGGAATGACTCTGTCGTTTGCATATCTCCGAGTGACTCCGCAGGAGGCCTTCAGAGTTAAATGCCATCAGGTGGTTAATTGTACGTGGAAACTATTAGCTATTTTTGTCGATGCGAATCGATCAGCGAATTTCCTGCGGACGATCGTCTGAAAAGCGCGCGGAAATA